ATTATTGAGAAATTCTTCAAGATCTTGTTTTTGTCATCTTACGCCTTTTAATGAAGATGGGAACATTGACAGGGAAAACAGATTTCAACGAAAAAGTTTCGTAAAGAATGCGAACAGTAGTGTGATGTAATATTACTCATGCTAGAAATTTTCAAAAAAGTGACCCTAAAAACGGCACTAACTCGGTAACCCGTGGCCTGATGAAGTTTCGTAAAGAGCGCGAACGGTAGTGTGATCTAAAATTACTCATGCTAGAAATGTTCATAAAAGCAACCCGAAAAATGGCGCTAACTCTGTAACTCGTGGCCCGATTTTAATGAAACTTGTTTTATTCTGTATCTATTCTCATTTCATTACAAATATGGCGCTATTGTGCGCCGATTTTGCTGTATTTAATTACAGGCAAGCAACCAAACAAATAATCTCAGAGTTTTAGTAGTATATAGATAAGGCTAAAACATTAATTAAATATATAACAACAAATTTGTAATTTTTATATTTTCAGTGTGACAGCAAAAATACTTGAATGCTACTTGTTACACTGGTGCCACAACTGCAGAATAATTCTTAATTTTATCTCTAACTAACTAACTATATATTTAATGTAATGTTTACTACAGATAAGCAAATTAAAAACTTTTACGAATGGAGAAATATTCTTCATTCTTATCTAAACTGAGTATATTACATAGAATTCATTAGCAATAGCGATGTTACGATGCTTCATTGCAAATTACAAACTGAGTTCTGAATTAAAAATTGGCGAAATGGTTAAAATTATTACTTAGGGATTTTTCAGCACACACACACACATATATATACAATCAGTTAGAACTATTATTTTACTTATATTTTTAACTTACCGCTGTGCCAGTGGGGAGTTCGAAAGGCGTTCACCTGTTGTGATAAGGATATTATGTGTTTGTAAGTTGGTTTACCAATTTTAAACAAGTGTTAAATTATTTCATGCAGTTATATTTATGTGCGATTTTACTACTGAAATGAAAAGTTGTGATTTGGATATAACAGCCTTACGACGGAGTCTTTTCAAATGGAATCATTGCTGCATGGCTATTGTCAAGATGCATGGTCGCCAAATAAACCATGATTGGACGTTGCGACATGAGCTGTAACGACGTGGTGAAGCTTCAAAATTGTTTTGATGTAATGTACCCAACATCTATATTGTGTTCGTGTTATAAGAAATAGTATATTCGGCCAAGAATACAGTATTAAATTTATCATCACTGTGGCATAATTCTTAATAGGGAAATATAATTTTAAACTTCGTTGTTATCTTGTGTGGTCGTGGAATAAACTGTCAGGCTGGAGTTCCATAGGGTTCGCGTATAGCCATCCTTAATTTTGAATTCCTGACCTGACGGAAGCAACCCAGCTAACAGTACCAGTTGCTACAAGGGCTTTGTCTGACTTTGGTCTCCCGGTGGGTCAACGGTAAGTTTACGGATTTACAGCACTAAATTACAGGGTTGGATTCCTCGTGCCGTACAGAGCGCAGATAGCCCATTATGCGTATTTACGATGAAACAAACAAGCAATTGTCTTGTGTTTTTAACCAACTATCACTTTTATAACTCGCCCATAGCTGAAAGTACGTAGCGTATATAGCAGCGTTGCACCTTGCACCTTAAGTTAATCAAAACAACTCAGGATATTTAAAGCTATTTTCATCCGAGCGACGCCAGGTAGTCTGATAGCCAACAATAAAACGATAAAACAAAATTATTTTTTTAACTATCGCTATTTGTTTTTATTATTATTTAATTTCACTAAAAATATATGTTTATTTTGTTAAATGTTTTCTATTTCGTTAGTATCAATATGGTAAAATCAACATATTAAACAATCTAATTTTCATCAATAATTTTCTTTTCTCTTCTGATGTCTTACGTAGGCTCCTTAAATCTTCTAAAAACAACCCTTTCGTCGAGCATCTTCTCCAATACTTAGTTTTTCCTATATCACATTTTATTATATGCCATACTTTACAGAATGTTGTTAAATGCTTTTTCAGTTGTTTATTAACCTGGCATAATTAACATATTTTATCTTCTCCATTTAACTGTTATTTATTTCCTTTGACAAGAATAGAGTTGTTAGTGGATGAACAATGTAAAATTGGTTGAGGAATATTAATAGTCTCTTATAATATTAATGTGTTAAAATTAAAAATAGGGATTGTATGTAATAATGATCAAATGGAAGAATTTAGACGAGAAATGGGGGATAAATTAAATAAACAACAAGAATAATTAGAAGAAGAAAATGCCTTTGTGGAAGAAGGGCATTTTATAAAAGAAAAAGAAAAAATACGTACAAGATATGTAATTCTGAACGATGCAATGAAAGTATTTAGGAAGCTTTAAAAACCCTGAAAACCGAGATTCTACATTACTAAGTGCACCATATCTTACTATTTTAGGGGCGTATTTCCATATTTTTATGTCTCATTTATTCAAAGACATTCTCCGGCATGGCCAGGTGGTTAGGGCGTTCGACTCGCAATCTGAGGGTCGCGGGTTCGAATCCCCGTCACACCAAACATGCTCGCCCTTTCAGCCGTTGGGGCATTATAATGTGACAGTCAATCCCGCTATTCGTTGGTAAAAGAGTAGCCCAAGGGTTGGCGGTGGGTGGTGATGACTAGCTACCTTCCCCCTAGTCTTACACTGCTAAATTAGGGACGGCTAGTACAGATAGCCCTCGTGTATCTTTGCGCGAAATTCAAAAAACTAACAAGTCGTATTCAGCCAATAAAGCGTTGTAATAAAAAACAGCAATACTAATAGAAAGAATCTTAAAAGCTATAGTGTTTTCAAGTAAGGCGTTATCTTGATTTATTTATTTATTTGTAATTAAGCACAAAGCTACACAATGGGCTATGTGTGCTCTGCCTACCACGGGTATCGAAACC